CTCTCTCTCTCTCTCTCTCTCTCTCTCTCTCTCTCTCTCTCTCTCTCTCTCGTTATCGCTCTCTTTGTCTTTGTTTTGGCTCTCAGAGCGCGCTCTGTGGTGGATTGTTAACCCAACAGCAAATACCACGCATAGACCAGCCCCCTCCCCAACTTCTCTTGCCCTGTTGGCTAAAGTTTTCGCTTTTCGTATTTTGCTCGCTTTACACCAAGTGGAAAGCATTCGCCTTTCCAGTTACCTTGCCCCTTTTGTGTTTTGAGTACGTCAACAACTTCGGACAAGTCTACCTGCAAATTGATCAATTTGAATTTTTGTCAATCTGGCAACACTGCTGACTGTCGTCTGGTCCTCTGACCCTTCAGGCAGGGCACAGGATTTACAGATGCTGGGCGTATAATATAACAACCCAAGCCCCTGTGAAAGCATCAATTTTGCATGAATATTTGTCGCTGTTATTGTCTATGCTCCAGTTCCTGCTCTAGTTGCTTCTGCTGCTCCTGCTGTGGCTACATCTTCTGCATTTGCTGCATTATCAATTAATATGTGCAAGGAACTGAGCTGCGAGCGAGACGAACACAAAGCGTCTATAAACACCCCAGAAACTGGGCTTTATCTCGCCTCGACTAATGCGAGGCTCCACAGAGATTGGCATGGGCTTTGTGGGAATGGGGTGAAGGGAGAAGGGGGAGTGCGTGGAGCCTCCTTGTCGTGTACTCTGTGCATTCAACTGTGCTTGTTTATGCCCCTCGGCTAGCAAGTGTTCCCGTTGCCACATCAATTGGCAATCGTAGCATGCAAGCGTTGCAAACTAAATATTTGCGCACTTGCTTTTAGTGTTTTTATAACGCATTCACAGACGTCTCTACTCATAAGCAAAAAGCTCTTAAGCTTAAAAAGGGCTGGAGTTAACATTAAATATATTTTTAGATATTAATAGACAAGTTTAATATTGTATATAATGATATGTTAGGCCTACAGAGAGGTGAACGTTTAGTTTGCAGATATATAACGAACTTTAATATTCATGCCAAAATAAAACCCTGCTTTAAATAAGCTTGTATTCACAAAATTGATTTTCAGATATTTTTAGAACTATAGTGAACACAATAATCGTACATTTTTTCATATTATTCTAATATGAATAGAATAATAAATAATGTGCATAAAATATTTGTAATAGTATATGAAGCATATAAAACAAATTAATCTGCTAATACACTAATAGCCTTCTTGAATATCATCAATAAATCCTGATAATTCAAAAATAATTTGTAGAATATAAAATAATC